CCAGAGGCCTCACAGCCCGGCCAGCACGCCAACAACCTGTGCGCATACAGCAAGGACCTAAGCACTCGGAATGTGCGGGACTCGCTGCACAGGCAATATGGAACACATACGCACATATTTCTATCCTAACCCCTACATAATACACCCCAGGTATATCCCTCTCTCTTTTTCCTGCATGAAGTCAATGGAATTTTTGAAACTGTGACGGATCTCAGAATTCGGTACAAATTCATTCCCTCTGATACACCTAATATATTCCTGTGACATTTGCTTTCAAAGGCATTTTGATATCTGCTTACACCTTTCACACATTTACAGCTTCCATAACCTCATACAGAATGAGGTGACAGTGCACTGCCCAGGCTTTGAATTACAGTTTCTCTACACTTGAGTCCTGGTTCAGGCTGGTAAATGCACTTGCCACATGGCCGTTTCTGACATTACTGCTGATTTATAATCTAGGTAAGCGAGGAACGGTAACTAAGCAATAGAGATTTCTCAGATTTATTTTTTCACAATAAATAATCCCATTCTTCTGCGGTGCAGGACAGTGTTTTAGCCTTGCTCAAACCATCTAAAATACTATAAGCCATGTGATGCCATTTATCAAATATACAATTTCTTTAATTACAGGAAGTTGTGCAGAAACGTAAGATAACATGTTCTTGTTTGATAGCACTGTTAACTATACAAGCTGCAACTTGATAAAAAAACAAGTCTTAATTATGTTCTCTCCTTGATATTACGCTACAAGATGCCCCAGAATGAATCATAGTAGAAACCACCATGTGCTTTCTTAAAAACCTACGACGAGTAAGAGTTCTTACAACTTGCTTTACTTGCAAAAATATTCTTTTCTATTTTGATGTTCCCAGCGTGAAAATAAAATAATTGTCTCCTTTCAAGCCGAAAGTCAGTTTACCTTTTCGTTCAATTTTCCTTTATTTTCCTTAAAACTATAGTGCAGAAGTGCTTCCCCATCAATGAAAGGAGCACTGCACCTTGTTTCTTTACAATTTTTGTGTATAAAGGCATTTTCTATTGTGCTGGAAACTTTCCAAAAGTTCAATAATTTTAATGTTTCCATGGTTGCAAGGATTTTACATTTCTGCAGTTACTTAGTTTCACCTGAAGGTTGTTAGGTTACTTTTATTTTCATATTTTACTTCTTTGCTAGAGTAGTAGGATCTGATGAACATGTGGGAACAGATTGTACTTTTAAATTATGGTGCTGGAAATGCAGATCAACTTCCACAGCCCACAATAAACTTAGTACAGGTTTGTATTGTGGAAACAGAACAAAAAGTGATCTTTGGCTTCTGCAACACTATTTTCCCCAGTTTGTTTTCATCTGGAAAATTAAGTGCTTGTAACTGTAGTAGCAGACTATATAGGAAGCTTTATTAACAAGTAGGGCTTAGATTATAAATGTTCACAATTCAGGAAACTAAATATTACTGCCCACAAAACCCTAACATGGGCTTTTTATTACCCTTTTGACATGCAGAAAGCAAATGCTATTTCTGTTTTCTAGCAACAGGATTTTTTTTATTATTAAAATATGACATTATATATATGATGAACAACTACTTGTTCTGCAAGCAAATAACTTAAAAACAGAATATTTAATTACTATGAGGGAACAAAATAAAGGGCGAAATGTCACTGAAAATCTATCTCTAAAATAATGAAATATGCTTATATATTGTTTTGTGTAATACATAGTTCCTTCTAAATAGATTGTATTTAGCCCAGTCTTTCCCCAATGTTAAACCCCTGAAATGTAACTAGGATCAAGTTACAAAACAAACTTAATGTTCAAAATGTTATAAACAAAGACAAAAATCCTGAGACAAAAGTCAAAATTTCATTCTTTGATCATGTAGGAGAATTAATTACGTACAAGCAAGCGCTCCTCAAAGCTTTATCACAAGACCAAAACCAAAGTGGACACTATAGTAGATAGTGTCCAGGGTATTACGAATGCACTGCTAATAATTAACATTATAAATGAAACTTAGATAAGGAAGAGAGTATTAGATACAGACTACTGAAAAAAAAATAGTAAAACCCTAAGAAAACATTCGAATCATGTAGCAGCTTTTGGACAACGTTCAGTGTGTCGCAGTAGACAGCTGATGACAATGTATTCCTAATAAATTCAAACAAAAATATTTCTCACAATGACAAAATTGGAAGACAACAGACTAAAGCTTTTATTGATATCTAGTAATTATACACAATTATATATTATATAGAAGTAATAAGAAAATAGCTATGGAAAATAAGCAGCTATACCAAATAGCCTATCATTTCCTATTTCACAAATTGCTATATCTAATCACCTTTCCTCTAAATTATTATTTCCGGCTGAAAAGCAATTAACTGAGAATCTTGCATGTTATTACCTATTATTTAGTTATTACTAAAAGTGATACATTAGGGGTCCTGAGAATTATGTCATATTAAGCTGCATTAAGATTATATTTCTTGCACAGATATTTAAGAGAGAGCTATGAGAGTTGCATCCTTTGCCAAAATCATTAGCATTCAAGTTAAACTCTCACTAGTGTGCTTAGCTCATTAAGAGTAGTGTTTTTGAAGTGCACATAATGCCAGAAGCAAAGCACAAGTCTGGACTCATAAACTGCATAAGCATCACCACTGTCATTTTGTTACGCACTTCATCCCTTTGCCCTCAGCCTGTACATAGTTCACCTCCAGGTAGTACCTTTATTCTTTTCTCTTCAGTCACATGCTCCCCTAAACCTTCAGTCAGCCTCCAAGCCTCCCCTTGCAACTTCTTGTTTTCATTTCCATATTTTTTAACTTCGCTGCCCAAACTGTTCTGAGTGGCCTCAGCACTCATGTTGCGCACCAGGTACTACATGACCCATTCACATCCATCCTGGGGATTCACTGGTGTCGGTTTGGTACAAGACATAAAAGCTTCAGAAATAATAAACTACTAGCACAGTCAGGTCTCTCCGAAGCAGCGTCATCCTCTTGAGTTTCACAGGAACTCCTCATTTGTGTTTCAGTATAGATCCCGCAGGGCAAGAATCAAGTAATTTATGACATAATTAAAAAAACAACAGCATTATAGTAATTCATTCTTCAAAGAGATATCCTGAGACAATGGTACATATCACTCGCTTAAATCTGCAGACAACAGGCTATCTATCAAAAATAGGTAACTGACAGTTAAGGTAACTTCCCAACATCAGGCACTCAGGCCACTCGGTAATCTGGCCCACTCATGTCCACGTCTCACAAAATCAACGTAGTCAGGGCAGTAATAAGCATCTAATTTACAGGTGTTTACAACAATCATAAGTGATATTTTCTTTAAGCACTTCTAGTCAGTCACCTCAGGGACCTTGCACAGATTTCTGGAGAACGCTGGGGTAAATTCCTTCACAGTGATACTACGTGTGTCACCTTTCAGATCTGTGCCTCAGGAAGAAGGAAGAACTGGTTGGGGATATGATACTGGCAGCCTTGGCTGCAACAACCATGAAACAATGGAGCTGTGAAGGCAAACAGCAGAATGCAGGGCCTGGGCTTTGGGAAAAAATGGCTGGATCATCAGGGTCTGGAGGATGGTGGTTAAATGCTTAACGCAGATGCTGATTACAGGTGAAGCATCACAAAGGCCTGTGAGACCTATCCAACTTAGTATCTTACCAATGCCAAGGAGGAGGAGCTGCAACAGCCCTCCCCTGCCCCAGTCAAGTTGTGGCTGAAGGAAAACTGGGTTAAACAGTTGATGAGCTTGAGGGTGGAGCTACCATTCAGAGGGAACTAGGCAGGCAGGAGAAATGAGCCACAGGAAACTCATGAAATTCAAGGACAAACAGAAAATCCAGCACCTATGAAGGACTAATCCCCTGTGATGGTTCACGTTGGGGACTGACTGGCTGGAGCACACCTCTGCAGAAAAGGATGTGGGGGTTCCAGGGGACATCAGGCAAAACACAAGCCAGCAGTGTACCCTGGTAGTGATGAAGACTAATAGGCTCAACAGGATGTATTGGATCTTTGTTCTAAGCAGTTTTCAAGACCTGGCTGGACGAATACCTCAGAAGCCCAGTGTGAATTCAGAAGGATGGATGAGAGACCTCCTAAGGTCCCTTTCCACCTGACTGAATCTATCTGCAATGAGTATTTCATTATTACTATTTCATTAGGAGTTTGATTTTGAAATGGATGAGATTTTCCACACCTGTGACACTTCAGCTTGCACTGCAGAGTTCTCTCAGAGCACACAAAATAAATTCCTTTGGGATGAAATCAAAGCAAAAGGTGTGCATCAGCCACTAATGAGCAGCAGTCCACTGGACAAGGCCAGAGAAAGCCCAGACTACTTCCCCTTCTCCAAAACATACATATCTGGATTCTAGGTACTCAGTACCATTTTGCTTTACAGATGCAGTTCTATTGTGTGGCACTACTTGCCAAGGCAGACATTGTCACTTGAAGAATTATGTTTTTCCATTTCAGCAGATGAAAAAAAAATGCTAGCAAATAAACCCCGTCTTCTCGGCTTTCTGACGCTGACAAACTTCATCCAACAATAGAAATGCATGTTACCTGCCTGCAAGACTGAACATACATATTCTCAGTAGAGCTATACAGTAGTCTTTGTGTTCTTCTTAACAGCTTCTGCATGTTCAAGGCAAGATCAACACAGCAAGCAGCGTTTTCTCCAACTCAGGTCCTCCTGCATTGCAGGATTCCAAGTGGGTTTTTGAAGAGCAATGAAGAAATGTGAAATGCAAGTCCACATTAAAGTCAGGTGACAGTTCATTCATTTTTTAAACCTTTTGCTGCATATGATAGTTCGACTAATCTGGATTAATCTTTAATGTACTGGATCATACTCCATCTGCTGCTACTTCAGCAAAAAAACTGGCTGGTCAGTTGATCATCACATGTACTCTAGGGCTACCCTCCTTCATAAAACGTAAAAGCAAACCTCTTTCTTACACAGAACTTACCAATGGCCTTTGTGTAATGTCTGGCTCCAAGCAACAACTCTGGAGCTCTGTACCAGAATGTCACCACAACTGGATCCAAGTCTGCCAATGGCTTCAAAGGTGAGTTGAATAATCTTGCAAAACCCATATCAGCTAGGAGAGAAAGAAAAAAGGAAAAGAAAGTTTGAGATTAATACAAATAAATCTGAATTTAACAGTACTGTCAAAACTCCCACAATTAGAACAAAAGTTCAAACACTGTTAAAACTTACAAATCAAAGTTTCTAAGAAATCAAAATGTTATTCTTAATGATACTGGTAGAAACTTATCTAAGGCTAAATTCCATTTACTTCATTTATAAGACCATGAGGGATGATGTTTGACTTGTTTTCATCATGGCGCTGTAAAACTTTACATAATACAGACGCCTGTTTACTTAAACAGAACTCTAACAGAAGTGTGCTTAACCAAAGGCCATAGAAGTAGGTCTCTAACATACATTTTCTCTCTTATTTTTATATATGTTTACAAAACTGTGAGCCCTTGTGACTGCGATACAGTTAGCCAAAGCACAAAACCAAACCAACTGTAATGTAGATTGCTTTGCACAATTTTTTTAAGTATGCCTCCTACTTGATTTGGAGGAATGAACTCCAGAATCAGGAAAAAGTTTTTAACTGGGAACTAATAAAATCAGTGGGTATATGCTGTTATAGAAGTATATTTTAAATGTAAGCATTCATTTTAAATAACTCAAAAATTCTCTATAGAGATAACGAGAAATGTCAGATGGGAAAGTACAAAATTTGTGTGTATATCCAAACCCACATATTTTAAGTCTGAAACCCACATTTTACACAGTTTTGCCTAATCTTTCTCCTTCCAAAGTTATGAAATATCAAATATAGCTTTTGTGCAATCGCCAATACACGCATATGAATAAAAAATGGTTAGCTGAACCTTTTCAAATACGACATAAGTCAACGAATAGGGCTCCAGTATATTATTTCTTTTTTGATGATTGCCACATGCTTTATTGAAAAAAAAAGTTTATATCCACATGACTAAGGCTTACAATCTGCACAGATAATTAGATTTTGGATAAAGACTATCACAGTTACGTGTGTTTCCCACCTTGATGCCAAACAGCTTTCTGCACAGCAAACCTTTAGACCTCTACAAATATGAGCATTGATGTTATTTAAATAATTAAACCAAATACAAATTATAAGTAACAATATTATACCAACAAATCAATACTAAAAGTCAAAAGAACCCTGGCCATAGCCATTGTTCTATGTGCCTACTACTTTTTTTGTTTCTTACAGATACTTTTATCTCCCCAGATAACCTTGGCAAGCGTTATAAATGTCTAATACTATGTTTGAAAACTCTTAAGCTTGTAAACTCAGTGAATGAGATTTCATATTGAATTAGGGGTTGTTCACACACTCAAATAACAAAGATTTGTTTTTATCTTACACCAAAGACACAATTTTTTAAGAGTGTAATGAAATTTTATCAAAATGTTTACCTATTTTGACCCTTCCTCTTTCAGGACCTTCACCCATTACCAGAATGTTTGCTGGTTTCTGGAAAACAAAAAGCAGAATGTTTAGTTGGACAGCCTTTGATAACTATCTTCAAGAATAAAAAAAAATATGTACATGTATTTTTAATGAAAACATTTCTATAAATACCCTTAGAACTCTAGAATTACCATACCTTTATGTTTTGCTGACACTCAGTTTTTATCCCCAGTTCCCAATTTCACAATTAGAAAAATAGTAAAGTACTTTGACATTTTACAGTAAGAAATGCAATCTTTAATTAAATTTGCATTTTTATTTTTTTACCAGAATGATCACACTCATTGGAGAGATTTTCCTGTATAGGAAAATTTTGTACCAGGGTAACATTTACTCTATACACCAATAAACTGGCAAGAACTACCTCTGCTAGTATAACTTATTGAAAATTATGCCAAATCTTGGTATGCAAATGCATAGATCAGAGTTGCTTTTGTTATGATAATACATATAAACATTTTGAGGGCTGGTCTTGTTTTTATTGTTTGAATGATAAAAATCATAGTGAAAAAAGTATTTTTTCCCACGAAGTAAGTTGATTTTGTGCTACGAAAATTCACTTAAAACAAAAGTATATACAGACAGCTACATCAACAAGCTTTTGACAGTGTAGACAGCAGCTTTACTAGAAGAACAAAACCTTTATAGGCAATTTTACACAATCTGTAGTTGTTCATAAACAGCTGCTTGTGAGCACCATATAAAATCTGCACATGACATCACAGCAATTGTTTTCCAATTAGGTTCCCTCAGACATCAATAGTCATTCCTTGGAAGCTTTTCCCCTATTGTGTTAACAGCTGGAAAGAAGTAAACAAGATTGAAAACATTAAGTGATTTGAATGAAGAAATGCGTAACAAAGTTTCAAAGCAGATTTTTTGGAAGGTTCATCTGAACATTAATTATATATAAAATCCCTAATGCCTGAAGAGGTCTGCTCAAGTAGGATTTGTTTAAAAATCTGAAAGAGATGTCAAGAAAGCCAACATCAGAATCTCACTTAACATCTCAGTTCCTAATATTTGCTTATATTCACCTGAAATGAGACACTCAAACTACGGTTACTAACTTGAGTCAAAATAGCTTTCTTGAAAAAGCAAATTAAAAAAAAATTTTTAAAAAAGCACAACTTCACCTGTTCATTCTCCTTCTCCCCAGGAATGTATTCTCACTTCACCCCCAGTGCTAGACGCTGCTTCTTCTCTGGCTCCAGCCACAGCCTCTCTTAGCAGATGCCACTGCTGCTTTACTTGTCTTTTTTAATCTCAGGATAATTCTCAACACCATCCCGACTTCTCATTCCCCAATATAATTTTTGAAGCTTTCAGAAGAGAATATGCATTCCCTTCTTAAAGAATGCAATAGCTATTTAAATTAATCTTGAGCAGAAACTCACCAGCAAATTCAGTAAAGATGAAGATGATGCTTGCTCTTAGCTAATATTTAACGGTAATTAAATCAACACTTTAAGGAAACTGGTCAAACTCTAGTTTTATATTTATGTATTACCCGGATTTAATACTCTGGAGAACAGAACAATCCCATTTTGCGTATTCAGAAACCAGGCAGCAAGGAAAACACACAAGTTCATACTGCATTTTACCTTTGTTGGAAATCACGTAGCTAAAATTGTCCCAACCACAACAGCAAAATTAATTTCCTTGTCAAAATTCTTCCCTAAACTCCTGCCTAGCAACCTTAATTGAGAGTTGAATATGAATCCAAACCGCTTCAACAGACCTTTATGTTCAGGATTGGATTCCAGGCACTATGAAATGTATTCTTTTCAAGTGAACAGAGCTGATAAAAATGTAGTTACTACACTGATTTTCTTCTATAGAATAATTATGTTGTAAGAGATAAAGCATATAACACCAGAAAATGTACTAAGATAAAATTTAAAATCTAAGTAGATACAACAGGATACTCAAAATCTCTGATAAGAGTCACAGTTTTTCTGTAATAATACAAGATCCTTCAAACAGCATTTTCTTCATAAAAAATGTCCCAGCTGAAGAGTCTCAGCTCCCTCAGGCCCTGAAGGACACCCCAAACTCCTAAGCAGCTTAGTGGCCCTATACATAGAGGGGATACACTAGATTAGAATCTATGGAAGCAATGTCCATTTGGGTATTTTTAAGCCAGAATGTTTTGAAGAGATGTTCCACTTAACATTTAAATCTATACTAAAATGCAGTCCACTGAGGATAAGAATCCTGCTCAGGCAGCCAGCAGGTAAGCATGATGATTTATGAACTTACCAGATTTCATGTTCATTTGTTCTTGTGAATCTCTCTGAGAGAATCATATGACGGAGAGAGAGAGGGAAAATAGAGAAGGAACAAAGTGTGAAAACCTAGTCTTATTTCCAAAAGTGCAAGTACTTCTTCTGAGGCACCATCGCCAACGTGGAGACGACAGGTATGTCATGGACGGCATCCTGAAGCCTGCAGGATCCCCACAGATCTGCAGACGGCTGTCTCACCAACAGCTTGCATGGGGGCAGCTTCCTGCAAGGTGAGAAGTCTTGCTTCGTACCTGCTCCTTGAGAACACATCTGAACTTCTTATCTCCCTGTCCTGGGTTTAGCTAAAAAATCCAGTCCTGTTTAGTGATTTTTACTTGCCAGTTTAGTCTCTTCTAAAAGGCTGCACTTTCTGAAGTCAGCAGCATGTTTTTGCAGACAGTGTGTGCTACTGGCAGTGATAACACCTGATGTTTACAGTTACGGCTTGAGACTGGGATGCAGAAAGGCTCTTGCTGATACTTATTCCTATAGTGATCAAGGCCACTGCTGGCTCTTGTGTGCCACGCTGGGAATGCCAGGCAGTAAGAGGGGTCACAAGGAAGTAAAAGGTTGCACATCCGGGAGGTAATAGACAGAATAGGTGACCAACGAGGGTGTTCCATTCCATATACGTCCTATTTAGTATATATTGAGTGATCACGAGAGTTTTGTCCCTTTTCTGCAATGGCCGGTGTCCAGGGAGGACTCCATCTGACCTCCTGCTTTTGATCTGGATCCTGAGTTCCCGAATCCAGCTCCGTGTACCCAGCTCCCGCCGCCACTGAGCCTGGGGCTGCCCCAGTGCCTCCTGCTCTGCAGCATCAGTGGGGATTGATATCGGGGGAGGGAGTCGGGTTTGATATCGGGCTACTATCCATAGGTGTATATAGTTCCTTACTTTTATCATTCCACTATTATTTCTACTATTGTTTCATTAAAGCTGTTCTTTTTTTTTTTTTCTTCTGTAACCCGAAAGTCTCTCTGCTTCATTCCCTTTTCCTTCCCATTTGGGGGGGAAGAGGGTGTTAGAGAGCGTCTGTCCGTGTTAGTGGTCGGCTCAGCTCTAACCCATGACACTCCCACATGAGCAGATGAACCATTTGGTTATTGGCTACTAAAAAGATAAGAACTTTCCAAGTTGCTAATTAGAGTTGTTCTGGTTAGGAAAGCAATTCTGACGCTATGTACACTGATCCAGTCGAAGAGGAGCACTAACCTGACAGGACCCATCTTTCTGAGAACAGACAACTGATATCCACCTCCTATACCCATGAATTTTAATTTAATAAAAATAAAGAGCTTCAGAGGAGCTTAAAACCTATGTCAATGGCATCCTGGGGTGTATTAGAAGAGGTGTGGCTAGCAGGTTGAGAGAGGTCCTCCTGCCCCTCTACTCTGCTCTGGTGAGGCCACATCTGGAATATTGTGTCCAGTTCTGGGCCCCTCAGCTCAAGAAGGACAGGGAACTGCTTGAGAGAGTCCAGCGCAGAGTCACAAAGATGATGAAGGGAGTGGAACATCTCCCTTATGAGGAGAGGCTGAAGGAGCTGGGTCTCTTTAGCTTGGAGAAGAGGAGGCTGAGGGGTGACCTCATTAGTGTTTATAAATGTGTAAAGGCTGAGTGCCAGGAGGACAGAGTCAGGCTCTTCTCAGTGATGTCTGATGACAGGACAAGGGGCAATGGGTACAAGTTGGAATATAGGAGGTTCCACAAAAAACATCAGGAAAAACTTTTTCCCTGTGAGGGTGACAGAGCACTGGCACAGGCTGCCCAGGGAGGGTGTGGAGTCTCCTTCTCTGGAGACATTCAAAACCTGCCTGGACGCGTTCCTGTGTGACCTACTGTAGGTGATCCTGCTCTGGCAGGGGGGTTGGACTAGATGATCTTCCGAGGTCCCTTCTAGGTCCTAGCATTCCTGTGATCCTGTGATTTATATAATAATGGCTTAAACACTATAAGGTAAAAATCCTCACTACCCAGAAGTCTTCACAATACACAAGCAATGCTGAGAGCAACCCACCCCTCACAGAGCAGGGTTGCTTCCTTGGGGCCTTGGCTAAAGAAGCATCATCAAGAGTAGCAGAACTTCAGGCGATCAGGCACAGCAGAAAGACTTTGGGTTATTCCAGAGGGAACAATTTGCCATCAGAGATCCTCAGGAACATAGGTAATGAACATTTCCATCATGAGGTAAGAGAGAAGACTGCTAAAGGGAATGCAAACAACTTCCCCTTTTTGGAGAAGGAAGAGTACGTGAGTCCAATCTCTGGATATGTAGGATTTTAAGTACAAAAACATTTTACCGTGAGGCAGTCACTTGATAGTCTACTACAGAATTACAGTCCAGTATAATATAGTTTCTGGACAGCTCCAAAAATCAGATAAAAAGAAGGAATAAGAGTAATTAAAAAGCTCTGCACCTCATATACGTCCAAGCCACATGCAAGTTATAAGTAGCAGTCTAGTTCCGAAAAGAAGTCTTACTGCTGTCCACATTATGAAGAAAACAGGGGTTTAGGTGGAAGAAAATGGGGTTTTAGGTGGAAGAAAACATGAAGGCCCAAACAGCTGGGAGACAAAAACCTGACACATACTTACTTCATGTCACTTCCCAAGAAGGCAAAATTTTTTTCAATAAAGTTTCAGAAGCCCTACTTAAAATTGTGGCTAACTCCTTTTTAAAGGGTGAGGTAACTTCTGAGCCAGTTACAACC